GCTCACCCTCTTATAGCCTGGCAACTTAGACAACTCAGCACTGCACAGGCAGCTCGCCACCAAGCAGCTCGCCTCCTAGTCAGACCGACGATCGTGTGACAACCCCGGGGAGCTCACCACCGTACCCCGCTTTTTACGGGATTGTGATTTGTAACGACTATATTAGCTCACTCACTCCCCAATTTAGGCGGAAATGGGCCACCTTATGGGTTGGTGGCTTTATCCCCACCTAACACGAAAGCAGGTCCCATCACAGCGGGAATCCAGGAACTGCTCCACCAAACCCACGAGGACTCTAGTATATAAAGGCCTCACCCCCTAGGAGCGAGAGGAAGGATGGTAACCCCTGCTCTCTAGCTCTCCCATTCTCTAATATCAATTTCAGCTCACTACTAAGTGTTGACTTAGCCATCGGAGTGACCTCGTCGGGTAAACACCCCAAGGTTCTCTGATTCACTTCGTGCAGGTCCCTCAGCTCCCACTGCCCACAAAGATGAGCGGATCAACACCAGTAGGGAGTAGCCGGTTCAGTTCCCGTCGTTGCTGGTAGTCAGATCACCTTCAGCTCAAAAGCAGCTGGGTTGCGCTATGCAGGGAGCTCCACTTCAGCCCCTGAGTCATTGGCCACTTGGGAGTAGACGAGATGACGAGGTACTTAGCCAAAAAAAAATGATACGTGGCCAGAATCCGTCACATCATTTGGCGCCGTCTGTGGGAAACACTTCAAAAAGCCTTTTTCCACTAAGCATTCCAGATTTAGATTCCATGGCATCTTCTAGTAACGCCGGACAGAACGCTGACATGAACGTCTCTGGGGGGCAACTTTAGGTCCCAACAGTGTGCATTGGGCAGTTACCGTACCTCTTTCTGCGGACGGGGTCCCCACACTAAACGTGCCTCAGGTCATTGCACCGGTGAATACCCCACTCCCTCTTACGGTGGGTGCAACCTTCGCCGAACCTTCTGATCTAATCCTGTTCGCTCCCCATGCTTTCGCACCCCAGCGTCGGTAGGGACCCAGASAGCTGCCTTCGCTTTTGGCGTTCCTTCGTAGATCTCCGAATTTCACCCCTACACTCAAAATTGCACTCTCCTCTATCTCACTCAAGTGAATTGGTTTCGAGAGCATTCCGCCAGTTTTTGGCGACTTTCACTTTCAACCCGATTCACCGCCTACGGCACCCAGTCATTCCGAAGAACACTTGCCACCCCCGGTCTTACTACGACTACTGGCACGGAGTTAGCCGGGCCTGTTATTCTCCCGGTGGTCGGACAAAATCAACTTGACGACCTGGTGCACTGCATGCGGAATATGCAAGCCCAAATGCAGTAGGTCCAGCAGTTTCAACTGTACCAGTAGCAAGTTCTACATCATGTTTACTAGCAACAATACCAGCAATAGTTCCCTCCATTGCCACAGAATCAGCAGTCGGTTCCACCTCGGCATTCAGCGACACATCAAGTCAAGCCTCGCCGCCAGAGCGAACTCCCTCCTCGCCGGAGAGAGACCTCCCAGATCCAGAACCCTCTTGGGAGCCAGGTCTCGTCCCGTGGCAGGAGGGAGAGACAGGTTACTCCTCCCGCCTCACAACAAGTGAATAGGTCGGGAGACACCCAGCCCACTAGAGCCGCTTCACCTCAGTCTTCGCAGTTCGAAGTTCCGCTTGTAGAAAACCAGTTTGGGATTCTGGCCACGGACACTAGGCAAGGTCCCTTAGTCCACAGCAACTGTCGCCAGCACTCCAAGCAGCTCCCTGCAAGAACAGTACCTGACAACACAGAAGCCAGCTGCACTAATGCGAAGCCAATAAAGAAGCAGCAGAAGTGGCGTCGTAAGGTTCGCCGAGCTGCAGTTCAAAGTCAGCCCGAACAGCCTAAAGGCAAAGAAAAGGCGAGCTCGGGAACCATGAAGACCACTCCACTCCTTTCCGTGCCGTCTCCCTTATCCCTCGAGCTCCTAACCGTCTCAATGCCCAAAGACTTCAAGGTACCTCCCCTGGACAAGTACGACGGGTCGTTCGACCCGAACGATCACGTGGATTCCTTCCAGTCCCAGATGCACCTAGCGCCGGGGCTGATGAACCCTGCATGTGCGTTGCATTCTCCACAACCTGTAAGGGAGTGGCTCGTACATGGTACAGAAACCTCACGCCCGAGACAATTAAAAGTTGGGCGCAGTTCGTGCAGGTCGTCACCTCGCACTTCATCACTAGCAAGAGGTGCCCGAGGTTCCAAGAAAGGCTCCTCAGGATAGTCCAGAGGGAGGGAGAGTCAATTCGGAGTTATATCAAGCATTTCAATGACGCGTGCTTGCAGATCCCCGACCTAGATTCTGCCGTGAGACTCACAGCCGCACCAAGAGGCATCACCCACAAAGAATTCAAGTGGCACATGGTTGCCAACAAGCCTAAGGCTGTCACAGAGTTTCTCTAGATCGCTGACCAGTTCATCGGAACAGAAGAAGAGATGAACAAAAAAAGCGAGAATCCACCAGAAAAGAGGAAAAGAGAAGGTGAAACCTCAACCAACAGGGATAATAAGCGGAAGAAGGATGAACCAGTTAGAGGAGGAAATAAACCAGATCAGCCTTTCCGAACTCCTCCAGTTGAAAGGACG